GTTGTTTTCAGGTTAAGAGAGGTCACCCGGATATGGTTCCCCCTAGACTGCAGTTAAGTCGGATTGTAATTACCAAGTTCAATTTCTATGATAGTTTATACTGCGGAAGGTTCTCAAACAGTCTGAAGTCTCAACTAAAGGTCTTCAGACCCTCTCAATCTGAGTCTCTAGAGGGCGACTAACCTCCACCAGAGTAAACAGATTGAGGCCCTAACGAACCAACCTCCACTACCGAATGGAATTCGGTACAGAACAGCAAATTGGCTCCTCGACTAAAGTCACCAATTCGCTACCTTCAATTAAGGATACTCTATTAACCTATGCAGATATTCTCATTCTAGGTTAAAGCAAAAACAATAGGAATTTGATCAGGATTCATGCCATTCAATCATTCAAACCTCAATCGAATAATCAACTCATAGAAACAGTACTTGGGTCATACAATCAATCCTAACATACAGATCTAAGGTTTCCCACACCCAGATGAATGGGAGAACTACCATGGAGAAAGAAGCAAAAGCAGAATCAGATGCGGAGGAAACCATACTGTGAAGGATGGAATTCAGCTTCTGGACGTTGATCGGCACTTCTCCAAGCTCAAGCCAAGCTCCAATGGTGATGAAGATCAAGCTAGGGCATTGGAAACTTGTTCGTCGCTTTCTCTCTCTAGGAAACGCTCTGTCTCTCTAAAACTCGAATCCCCTCTGTTTTGGCTGAAATCTGCTTAAAAGGGCATCACTGGGCAAAGCACGGTCGAGGGCACGGCCGTGCTTTGCCTCAGCCCGCCCGTGCTTTGCTTAGGGTTAATTACACGGCCAACAGTTGGGAGGAACACGGCCGTGCTTTTGGGAGGACACGGCCGTGCTTTGGGAGGACACGGCCGTGCTTTCAGCCCGTGTTTTCAGATTGAATTTGCCAACTCAATTAGCTCTCGGCAGTAAAAGCACGGCCACAGAACACTGCCGTGTCTGTAGGCCCCTTGCCCGTGTTTTGGCTCCAGCTCGACGAAATGACTTCCGAATGCCCCGAAACTCGTGCTTAGCCTTTCCTCTGAGCCTGGACCTGAAATATGACAAAATAGCACAACCCGGCGTAAAATAGGCCAAGAATACACGACTATGCCCCTCAAACGGATAAGAACTAGGGGCGCAAATATGTGCAATTACATCATTATCAAGGGGTTTGGGTGGAAAGGCTAGGCTGCAGAGAGATGGAGCTTAAGACAAAGAGAGACGTTTGCTTCTTTTATTTCTTTTGCTTTGCTCTGCTTTCCACCAACGTACAAACCAGCCTATTTATAAGCTTTTTCCCAAACAAATATCAACAACACAAACCGACCTAAACATATGGTTCATCTTTTTCTTTTGTTTATTGCAACTAACATATTAAATTCACAACTAACACATTATGGACATTTCTCCATCTCCTCATTTAGATCCTTCTAGCTAGACATTTCTGATTTTTATTAATTAAACACGGTCCAACCAGTTGGAATACGGTATCCTGGAAAAATTATCATTATTAGAATTTAGAAGTTGATGTTGTAACAATGAAACACAGAGAGAAATTAAATATCGGACTTAACCAATTGCCTTTCACTCCAACATCTTTGATGGCATAACTGAATATTCCAGTGCCTATATTGTTTTTTTTTTTATCAAAGATAGCTTGTATTACCAAGAATAAAAGATCACAAACGATTACAACCCATGTGGAGCCAAGCGCAAAATCAAACCCCCCAATAAGAGCAGGAAACAAAGAAAGGGCCTTCCTAGCCACCCTATGGGCTACCTATTGTTATCTCTGCCTACAAATCGGAGACACTCGCCAGCTAAACTAAACCAAAACTCCTGCACCTCCTGCAACACCGCACCCCCCTGACAGTCCCACGGGCATTTGGATAAAAACCTTCTCTATGACGACCTTCGCATCCCCTTGGTAGCAAACCCCCGTCAGACCTCTCGATCGACACCACCAAATCGCTTCGCGAAGGGCCAACAGCTCCACCCAGCATTGGGTCAGTCATCCCTTCAAACCTTCTCCCAGCAGCCCCAAGTACCACCCCGTCCAGTCCCTGAAGAACAACCCCCACCGCTGAGTGCGATCCCCCACACACCGCTCCATCAAAGGAACATACCCAAGACACACCCAGCGGCAATGGATCCAAAGCCAGCGGCACTATCTGGCGCCTATCCTGCTCCCGCACCACCACCGGACCCCTCAAATCTCGCCATTCCGCAACCTGGGCCACCCACTGGCTCCGCAACACCTCCCTAGTGTATTGAAACCATCAAACACAACCCAATTCCGGGACTTCCAAACCCTCCATAAAACCGATATAAAACTCATCAGCACCCCCTCATCCGCAACCCTCTCCACCAACCTACGCACAAAGAGGCCAACATTCTCCTAGGGCAGCCCATCCCTTACCCTTCCAGGCCCGCAACAGCCCACAAATCTTTCGCCACTGGGAAATCAAAGAACATATGCTCCATCGACTCACTCTCACTCCAACACACTGGACACCTCTCCAGAACCGGGATATCACGAGCCAAAAAAGCCTCCGTGGTGGGCAAAATCCTACTCATCACTTGCCAAAGGAAAAACTTGAATTTCGGCGGGATACTAAGGGCCCATAGCTTTTTCCACAACACCCGGTCCATCCAGGATACCTCACACTTAGCACGCCACCTCCGCGAATCCATCCGTACCGCCAAATGATAGCCAGACTTCACCGTGTACTTGCCAGATCGGTCCTCATGCCACACCAGTTTGTCACGAATTGGCACTCTCGCAAAGCAATTGCTTTGATTTTACTAGCCACCTCAGGGGAAAAACAATTCGCCAAACACTCCTCACACCACGTCCCTGGCTCTTCACCTAGTAACCCCGCCACCGTCGCACCCTCCCAGAGGTTAGCCGACTCTTTCACCACAGGAGGGTTGGGGTGACACCCTGGAACCCAATTATCAGTCGCAATCCTAACATCCTCCCCGCCACCAACCTGCCAGCGCAGCCACGCTTTCAGCAACTGGACACCATATAACACACTCTGCCATCCCCAAGATGGCCTGGACCGAGCTGTGGCTACCAACAAGCTGCCATTGGGGAAATATTTTCCTTTATAAATTCGCGCCAGCAACGAGTCAGGGTTCTGCAAATACGCCAACCGACCTTCGCAAGCAGAGCTTGGTTGAATTGCTCAAACCGTCGAAACCCCTGTCCCCCCTCCTGCTTACTCCGGCAGAGCTTCCTCCACGACATCCAGTGAATCCTATCCATCGAATCCCCCCACCAAAACCTGGCCATATACTTATCAAGCCGACGGCACAACGTAACCG